CTCAAACAGGACTAATAAAAATAGTTCACTTGACAAGGCTGAAAATAATCAGTCATGACATGAGATGGGCTTCTTGGCATAGACAGTGGCTCCTGCCTTGTATGTCACTCCAAACATACACCCGTACTATGAAAAGACGGGAAATCATGTCATGCCTTCATGCCATGAAGCATAAAGATTACTTAGTCTTTGCAATTTCCAGACTAGTTTATTTCAATGCAGTTGTGATGTGTATTTGCTTTTAATAAACAGCTATTTTCCTGTATCAGTTTACAAACTTTATGTAGCAGACTACTAATTTCCCTGCCAAATAATACTGTAGATTCCTTGTTTCTTCTAAATACAATTCTCACTTGATTTTGATTATTATTTCATTCTTTGCTGCATTGTCCAGCACTTTCATTGGGTTTTAGAATGGCCTGAACTATAAGCTACCAATCCCAAAGTGTGCCTAAGTGTAAGTAAGTGCTGTAACAATTCTGAATACCAAGCAAGTTAAAAGGTCCCCTTGTATCCCCCAGAAACAACTCCCCATTTCAGCAGAAAAATGTTGAAAAACCATCAGGGCTTGCTGGATTGCTTGCCTCCAGGAGAACATTTTTTTCAGTCTGACTAGTACTGAATTGAAAGTCTTAATTGCCCTTCACCAAGGACAAGTCCTGCCTGACCAACCTAGTGGCCTTCTGTGATTTAATGACCACATCAGTGGACAAGGGAAGAGCTACTGATGTCATCTACCTGGACTTCTGTAAGGCCTTTGACGCAGTCCCCCACAACATCCTTCTCTCTAAATTGGAGACATATGGATTTGATGGGTGGACTATTCGGTGGATAAGGAATTGTTTGGATGGTCGCATCCAGAGGGTAGTGGTCAATGGCTCAATGTCCAGATGGAAATTGGTAATGAGTGGTGTCCTTCAGGGGTCTGTATTGGGACCAGTACTCTCTAATACCTCATCAATGACATAACGGGATCGAGGGCACCCTCAGCAAGTTTGTAGATGACATCAAGCTGGGTGGTGAGGTTGACACGCCTGAGGGACGGGATGCCATCCAGAGGGACCTGGACAAGCTTGAGGAATGGGCCCATGGGAACCTCATGAGGTTCAACAAGGTCCTGCACCTGGGTTGGGGCAAGCCCCAGTATCAATACAGACTTGGAAATGAAGGGATTGAGAGCAGCCCTGCAAGAAGAAGGACTTGGGGGTACTGGTGGATGAAAAGCTGGACAGTAATGTGCTCTCACAGCCAGAAGGCTGACCATATCCTGGGCTGCATCCAAAGAAGCGTGGCCAGCAGGTCAAGGGAGGGGATTCTGCCCCTCTGTTCTGCTCTGCTGAGAACCCACCTGGAGTCCTCCATCCAGCTCTGGAGGCCTCAGCACAGGAAAGACATGGACCTGTTGGAGCAGGTCCAGAAGAAGGCAACCAAGATGATCAGAGGGATGGAACCCCTCTCCTATGAGGACAGGCTGAGAGAGTTCAGTTGTTCAGCCTGGAGAAGAGCAGGCTTATCGCAGCCTTCCAGTACTTGAAAGGGGCTTATAAGAAAGATGGGGACAGACTATTTACCAGGGCCTGTTGCAATAGGACAAGGGGTAATGGTTTTAAACTAAAAGAGGGTAGATTTAGACTAGATCTAAGGAAGACAGTTTTTACAATGAGTGTGGTGAGACATTGGCACAGGTAGCCCAGTGAGGTGGTAGATGCCCCATCCCTGGAAACATTCAAGGTCAGGTTGAATGGGGCTCTGAGCAACCCGATGTAGTTGAAGATGTCCCTGCTCACTGCAGGAGAGTTGGACCAGATGACCTTTAAAGGTCCCTTCCAAGCCAAACTATTCTATAATTCTAAAAAGTGAAATTTGGTATTACATATGTGAATACTGAATTATGGTCACCTTAAACATTAAAAAACAAAAGAAAACAAACTGATCCTGGAATTCATAGGAGTGGAGCGAAAAGTAATCTTGAGCAATTGCCTGCATGAAAACCAAGAGCATGGTGAATTCAGCCTGTAGACTGGAAATATTGCAAACAACGCGAGTCCCAAGGAACAGCACAGTATGTGATAATAACCTTGCAGCACTGCAGACATTTTCTAGGGCTTAAAATATTTCTGTGTTCCTGTAAGTACTGATCTTCATGAAATCATATTAATGATATTCAGGCATATTTCAAGCCTGTCATACCTCTGTTTACAGCTGCCACACTAGCACACAACTAGTCTTACTACTGAAATATCTGTAATGCACAAAATAGCAAAATGCAATACTGACACTGGAAACAGGATAAGACATTATTCAACAGAATTACAGCAATAATTCCTAACTGTGTAAGTAGTTGAGCCTTAGCCAAGAAAATTGGCTGTTGTGCACCTCGCCAAACCCAGCTCTGAATGAAGAGAACTTGAAGCCTCAGTTTTCCCCCTCTGTTGTTTTAAGGCAAGTCATCAGTAAAACACGTTTCCAGTGCAAAAATTTTCAAATCTGACTCTCAGCCAAAGCTATTCTGCTGAGTATAAGGCAGCTGTAACTCTAACTCTGAATGCCCTGAAAGAAATATGCACAAGCACGAGATACCCAAAATCTGATGCAATCCAAGATTATTTGACTTACTGCATGTATGTTTATAATTGGACCGCAAATTAATCAAAGCTTCTGGACAGATTTCTGCCCAGGTCTTTTGCTTGCAAGTAACCCCAAAACACCAAAAGGGGTTTTAGATCTCAAAAGCAAGTTTTAAGCAGGAACATGTAACTCATTCTGAGTAAAAATTCAAAATGACTCTATAAGACAGAGCACAAGTAAAAACGGTTTATAAACAAACCTCCTCCTACACACAGAGTGTCTTTCCAGGCAGGTCCTTTCCTTTGAGTTTGGCTTTAATCCAACAATGCAGTGCTTTTCTGGGACTGAAAAAACTCTTCACACAGTATTTATGGCCACTTTGAAAAATTTATCTTTCCCATCAAGCCCAAGGCCCAGCTAAATACCTGCTCCCTGCTCTCCTCAGCCCAAAGCAATGGCAACCTCCCCTTCTCTTTGGAGGAATCAAGTCTTTTCCTCGGCAAAGCCAGGTGCTATGGGAACGAGAGTGTGCAAATGAACTGAGTCCTGTTCAGGATTACAGCCACATTTCAGCAAATGTGCCCAGGACTCCTGGCTGGGTCAGAGCAGCTACAACCTCCCCAGTGGGGCTACCAGGAGCTGGTGTCATGGGCGCGTTCCCCAAAACCACCAAGTTTTCAGGAGGGGCAGACACTCCCCAGAAAACATAGATAAAAGGCAGGTTTCATATACCAAACATTTCAGTCCTTTTTCTGTTATCCCGAGCAACAGGATATAGTGTCCAGACTATTCTGGACACTACATCCCCCGTGCATCCTGGGACACCTTAAGGAGCTCTGTGTAGCGATGCTCAAAGGCACAGAGTGAGCATTGAGGTGGCTGTATGGGGCTGGTGGGACACAGCCAGTTCTTGTCTTAGGCCCATGTCTAAACAAGCCAAAAATATGGTGCAATGTGAAGATGAGAAAACACAAGGCAGCCCCCAGATGCAGCAACAGTTGAAGGCAGTGGACAAGAATGAATGAAAAAACTTTTTTTTCTTCTACAATACAAAAGAAATCAGAATATTTATCTTCACACAGTTGACCATTCAGAAGTTATATGCAGCACAGTGGGGAAGAGCACACAAATCCCCCTACACTCAGATGAAAACATACCTTCATTTTTCACTTAAAAGGCAGCCTGTGTCAGGATGAGAAAAATAAGTGTTTAAAAAAGATAAACTAGTGATATTTTTAGTATTACTATAATAGGTGCTTAGATCAGATGCTCTTTACTATAGAATTAGGTGAAGATACTTCACAAATTTGTATGAATTACTTTAGTACTGCAGCATAAATTACAAAAATCATCTATATTCCTTCCAGAAGAGGAGTCAAGCGTCTTCTTTTTTCCTCCAATTCTGTATCAGTGTCTTCAAAATAGAGAAGGGAACAGAACCTTCCTACTAAAAGCAATTGAAAACTTCCCCTAACTTCTATGGTTAAAGGCCGATTTGCTACTCTTGAGTAATGAATACAAAAACTTTACTCAGAAGTGTGTAACCCACAGGCAAAAGATACAAAGCAGCCACAAGCAGGAACGGAGATGGCAGGGATTCCTCCCTCCCTGCCTTCCTCTCCCACCTCAGTCACCTACAAGCAAAAAGCAGCACTCGGTATGTAGACAGCTGGTGCTAATTCCCTTTTCCGCTTGGATAATAATAACCAGGACCCTCACACCAATCTAGGTGTAATCTAGGCTGCTGTATTCTTTGGCAAGTTAATCACAGTGTTACTCTTGATGAATTAATTTTGAATATAGCAGATAATGCAGACAGGTAGTGGATATTAATCTGGAAATTTGTTTTGTGCTTTAGTCCAGTCTAAGAGCCAGGTGAAGATAAGAGGCAGATAAGTCAATCAGGCCATGAAGAGAACCCCACAAGAAAACTGCCCTTCTGTAACCGAAAGGGCAGTTCTTCCACAGGGTGTTAGTACTTCTTTAGCTTGTCTCCTACACTGCTGGGCAGCTGAGTTAGCAATTAACCACTGTGGGCACGGTGATATATAAAGCGATTAAGAAAGTGACACACCATTCCATTAGAAGAGAAAGAAAGAATGAAGCGAATGAACGGTGGCAAATGATGGACGTTCCAAAGAGGTCAGACAAGCAGGATAAAATGTCGAGACGCAGCTGAATTTAAATGCAACAGTCACTTGATAGGAAGCTGTCAGACCTCCCTGAGTGTGCCTTACGGTGTTGAGGGATCTTCAGCTACTTAGCGGATGCCTTTCTCAGGATACAGCACCTCACTCGAGAGGATGTTTAGAGCTGGAATGCACCAATCTCTACAACTGCCTGTTTATACGCTGATGGGAACAAAAGTATTGATACTTTTCAGCGAACACAGCAAAGTTAACAGTAAAAAGCAGAAATCAGTATTAAGGTACCTGTGCAAAATCTGCCGCAAGCCGCATCTTCCCACCTTCACCAAGGGGCCTTATTAGACTGGCATTGCGAATGAAAAGTTCAATTGCTCTTTGAGCCATGGCTTCAGTGTTATCAAAGACGAAGTCAAAACATTCAAAATGTCTGAAGTAGTCGCTCATGACTCTTGCTATAAAACCCTGTAATTCTTTCATGTACAGAGAACAAGGGACCTCTGGTTTTCCTGAACTGGATAACGATCTGAAAAAAAAAAGAAAAGAAAAAAGAAATGGGGACAGCTAAATTAATCTTTAAAACACAACCAAAAACTACTGGATTCTTTTTAATTTTTTTCCTGCCCCACAAAGTCATGCCATGAATTGTAGAGTCTCATTTCTGCTCAGAATAAAGAGCATGTATCTCTTTCTGAAACTGTAGTAAAAAAATATCTCTTTATCAGCCATTCCCATCCTAATAAGATAAAAGGAAATCACCCCACTCCTACCAAACTTACAGAGCCTCCACCAGTTTGGAGCGTGAATCTCAAATCCAGCCCCTAAATTTAATGCCCCAGTTGTTGATTTGAAACTCTAATACTGGATCAGAAAGTACAAGAACATGTCACAGGGTTACTAGTTTAGTCTATCCCACACCTGTTCTCTGTATAGAATTAGTTTCCTAGATTGCTCCAAACCCAGGATTATAAAGTCAATTTAATTATCACAGAAGCAGCACAGAAGCTATAGGACACAGAAATCAATCACCTCTTTCTTTGAATCACCATCAGGCAAAAGAGCTCTTCCAAAGTCAGGAACCTGAGCATGCAGGCTACCTGACAAAACTTAGTCTTTGGCTGGAATCAGTTTATCCAACTAGAGAGGTATTTTGCTGCTGGTGGCAAAAGAAAGATGGATAGGGTCTTTTTTTTTTTTTTTTTTTTTGTACAGTCAAAAGGAAAATTTAAAACACCTCTGAACATATACTATTTTCAGTGAATCTCCAAGACAGAAAACAGGACATCTGATGATGATATAAGCAATGTCAGAAGAGAGATAACAACCAAAATAACGCTCAGGAAGGAAGACTCAGTTATAGATAGGACTCAAGATCTTTGCAGACAAAGAATACTGGAAATTTTAATTAAAATATTATGGGAAAATAGCATAATACACTAAAGCTGTGCTTTCAATAAAATAAATTTTTTGAAGCATTTCATATTCAGTAATACTTTAGAAAAATTTCTGTGTAATTTTGAATCAGAAGTTATATGCTTTATTTTGAGAAACAAGAATATTGACCGTTCTGAAGACTGTCCACAAAATATAGATTTTGAAAGCAAAAGGGTTTTTTTAAAGGACAAAAATGGCCTCTGCTTGGCTTTATTTTTCTATTTAAAATTATTTTTATTCAACAGACATGCAAATAAAAAAGGGAAGAAGACAGACTCTACTTAATAGATAGGTGTAATTCTGCTTTCTGTGTTCACTGACCATAAAGCATCGCCTTCCCCTCAATAAACAAGAGCTCCTGCTCCAAGGACATTGTGGCAATAACAATCTATTATGCAAATGCAGGACATCTTACTAAAGCAATGGTAAATTTAAAAAACACTTCTAGTTACCCAGAAAAATCCTCCTGGTGCATAGTGATGATAATAGCTTCTACTGAATCTCCTACAGAGTTCAGTAACGGTTGAACAGCACTACCCATTAGATCATGGACTGCCTAAAAATAGAAAAAGAAAAAGGCAGAAGCAACGAAATAGAAACTAGAAGCATTTGCATTTTGACACCTCAAAACTGCCTTGACAAACAGTTCATTTCAACAGTGCTTTTTATTTATTCTGTGTTAGAAACTGCTAAATAGGAGGACAAAAGCCTAAGATAACATTTCTCTCTAATTGATTTTACCAGTAAAGTACAGAAATAAGGCTGTTTACTGCTTTTATGTAAAGCCTTTCTTCAAAATGGTGCACAGCAACCTGGCACTCCTGGTTTGTAAACGTGCATGTGTTGGTGCACAGACTTCGTTCAGCCGTTCATTCCCCAGGAACGCAAGCTCCCCTTCGTCCCTCTGCACACAACCCCTCCCAGACCAGTGCACAGATGTGGATAGCTGTCATCCACAGAGGGCTGCATGGCCATCCACATCACACACCCCCACCCCAAAAAGCACCAGGTAGCATAAAGTTCATAATTTTACGTGTGTGTCAGGGGGAAGATGGGGGTGATGAAGGATCTAGCTATTGCTGTGTGAATGCGGCAGATAAAGACATTTATTTTCACAGTCAGATGACATCTGGGTTCCGACCAGTAGGAGAATATTCTTGAATACAAATGTTACTGCAGCAGTGATTTGGCACATGCATATATGTAGCTGCAGATACAACAAAATATAAGTTTCAGAATATCTGTATATCTTTGACTAACATATACATACACAAAATAATATCTGTGAAAATTAGCACACATTTTAAGTGTAACACACAAGGCAAAGCCCAGCCCTATCCCTGCAGCACATGGACATTCATTTACCTTTAAGGCAGTTGTCACTGTTTGCTCAGCGGCTGCTGGAAATGAGCTCTGATTGGTAATGACCTAAAAATTTTAAAGCCGTTGTTAATAGTCAACGTTCAACAGATGATTAAAATACATAACATTTAATTTAATTTAAAAACGTACTGAGTTATTCTTAGTAATGAGCGGTTTACATAGGTATAGATAACTATCAAATGTATTTTATACAAACGGAATTTTCAATGCACCGGTATCAGTCCTTTGCTCTCAGGTTTCCTATGCACTGTGCTTCTGCCTTGGCAAAGAAATGATTCAGTTGAGTTCAACTGACATTTAGCTGAAGGGTTAACAGAATCAGGATAAAAATAAATGGTGTATTCTCGCACTTCTAAGTATAGAATTTATGGGGAACTATACAAGCAGCTCTATGGCAAATATTTGAAGGAATGGATGTTCTTTCTCAGTATTATGACTGTTATAATACTGATATTTGAAGCAAATGGAAGACTCTAGTGTTCAGGTTGGTAGGAGTTAACACAATCAAAAAAGATGAATGAAACCAGATCTGGTGGTCAAGAAGATGAAGAAGTATTTGTACTCAAGCAGTAAACCACGAAGACTTAGCTGTTCCTGCACTCTTGAAAAACGAACTGTCATGAGGTCAGCAGAATCCACAGGAACTGGGGTAAAGGTGGCAAGGGGAGATCGCGACCGCCGACTCAACTGAGGGACTATGCAAATTAGGTGTCCCCCCCACACTTTCTAGGAGCATGTGCGATAATTTAAATATGCGCAATGTGGTAATTACTAGCCAATGAATGTAAACTTGGGAGTGTTCTCTATTGTTTTTTCTAATTGTGTAATGGGATAAATATGTGGTGACTTCTCTGTGTGGTGTGATAGCTTCGTGGAATACCAACCAGCACCCATATCTGTGCAAATATGCTATAAATAAAATACCTCTACTCTGTGTGTATATTGGCGTGTTGCAGACCGGGTATACGATCCCACTTTTGGGATAACGGTACTACATATTAAACAGCTGTTTATGTACAGCTACAATGATATTAGAATTGAAAGTCAAGGAATCATTTGAGGAATATTCTACCAATTTCCTTGCAGTTATGAACATGATATACAATAGTATTTTTAAGCCAGATAAGTACTGAACTCAAAGACTGAATCATATGAGATCTCCCTCCAACACTAAGGCACGTGAGGTTCATTACTAAATACATCACAGAAAGCAGACTTGAAAGTTGATCTACCATCTGTTTGCAAAATCCAAGCAAATTTTATAGGCTTTTTAGCATTTTTTAACATTCTTTAAACATATCCACAGTCAGGAGTACTCATGATCTTTTTTCTAATCAGGCTAGGATTTAAACACGATTAACTACAGCTAGCACTGTATCTGTTTGTTTTAATTTACAGAGACTGTGTAAGCACTGGCATCACTGAGCCAGTAAATTGGAATTATTCGTAACTGTGCTTAATCTTGAAAACATTTCCAGGCCAGACTTTGGTCGCAACAACAATGCACAGAGATATCTGTGAGGTGCTGCTTTTCTTGATTTCACCCTTTCATTCCTCCTTTTCAGTTTGGCCACAATCGTGGGAAAGCAGTGAGGGTCTTCTGAGAAAGATAAGCTTGGGCTGGGACAGACAAGGGCTATCAGGCTGACCAGTACAAAGACAGAGCTTATTTGTTAAGAAAAAAACCAGGAAGGGTTCAATTGTTTAGGCTCACAAAGCAACGTCTGTGAGTTGTGAGTTGTGATTATTCTCTATCAACACATCTTTCACTTCTCTTCTAATATTGACAATTTATGATACAGCGATGCTTACAAGGGCCAACAAAGTCTCAAAGACTTGCACAAATGCATAGCAGGGTGCAGCTCTTAGCCCAAAATTGGGCTGTATTTGTCAGTGTTCTCATCAGCTAATGGGAGAATATGCATACGACAGAGAAAAGAAGTTAATATTATGGCAAGAAGAGAAATACCAAAGGAAGTCTACCTTCAGAACCGACTGGTGCAGTTTGTATAGAGAATTAACTACAGCCACGTTCCTCCTCTGTCCCTCTGTGAGCGGTCCAATGACCTGGCTGGCATCTCCTTGAGTAGACAGCTGCAGTGATTGAAGAAAACGTTAAAACAGTACCAACTCTTTAAACAGCGCATCACCACAAAATTATAGTTAACTAAATGGCAGACCATGGTAGAAAGCCATAGGTCTTCAGTACCAATGTTCTTCCATTTAACGCCTGTCCTAGTTCATATGATTTCCATCTCCAGATAATACAAACTGAAAGAACAGGAACAGGAACCATGAGAGACTGCTGTCTCAGCTCCCAAACCACAGCATTCAGACCCCGATCTCTTGGAGATACCTAGTCCCAGCACAACTTCAACTTCGTAATCTAAGAATCAGGGGAAGTCACCTACCCGAGGATCCAACACAAACTAGCAGCAGAACTGAAAAGGGTATGCTCTTCTCTATACCCTCAGTCCTTCTGACAACCATTCAGGCCTCTCCTTAAAAACTCTGTTTCTTCAAATGGATTGCTTACAGCTTTGTACATATTAGTGGCTTGCAATGAACAGGAAAATTGAACTGCGAGGACCAAAACTTCTAGCCCTGTCATGAAAAAGGGTTCTATGCATGAACCTTTCAGCAAAAATTAAGAAATTATTTCTTCATATTTAAACTCCTCAAAGCATGCATTTTTTACCATTACCACTGAAATAAAAGTTTCAGGGTGATACAGAAATAGTAATTAACTACAGGACAGTCCCATAAGGATACCACAGCATATGTTTATAATTTAAAATAAAATAAATTGTAATTGGGAAACAAACAGAAATTTTCTTATGCACTGGAAGCTGCAGAAATACAAAGAATTCACAAAAGGCTATGTGAATTCTGGAAGAAGTACATCTAAATATGACAACAAGAATAGTTATTAATAGAAGGCTTCACTGAGATATAATTATCTGACTGGTTATCTATATTTCAGGATACAAAATTATCCTCCAGTAAACTCCTGAAGATGCCTAGCTCCAAAAGTCTCTCAGTAAAAATATATTCAACTCATTGAACAAGTCATCAAGAGACTTTTATGAAGTGTGTCCTTAAACACCGTTCTAGGTCCTACTGAAGGCACCTAAACTAAAACTGAATATACAATAACAATTGTTTAGGAACAAAAGTAACAAACATAACATGAAAATTTTTAAATTATGGGAAACTGTTAATCTTTACTAGTGAAAGACGATTCTTGTACTGCTCATACCTTCCACTCAGCATAAACACAGATACCATGCAAGCAAAGTTATCTAGTATTTGCCAGCACTGCCAATAATGTTTTAGACAAGTTCCTGCAAGCACACATGAACTCAAGTTTATTGACAGTACTAAGGTGACATTCCCCTTTCTTCAAACGTAGGGATTATTTCAGTATAAATAGGTTTCTGAGGCCTTTGCAGAGGGAAAAAGCTTTTCCAACGTATCTTAATTTATTTGACATCAGAATGCATCTTTAGACTAGCTGACAAATGTATCATCTCAGCACCTTTCTGCCTTCCTGATGAGAACACCACGTGAGCTACTTACATTTCCGTTTCCTTCCTGATATTTCCATTTGACAGACCTGACTGGTTTTAAGCATTCTGCTTCTCACACTTACAGCTTCAGAGATTAATAACAAAATAGCTATGCAGAGTAACCCCCGTCCATCCAGCAGACCACCCTCCCAAATCCCAATAACCCTTTTTTTCACACCCTTTCAAATCGACTATTAAACATAAAAGTCACTACTAAGACAGTAAAATTTTACGTCTTAATCACTTAAATTTCAGTTCCTCAGAGTCTACTGCAAAAGTCTCACAATCTTTTTTTTTTTTTTCTTAAACATTATGAAATCATTAGACTGTGTCTATTCTGCTGGTAGAAAAGCTTAACTGATAAGTGAAACAAATAACAAGTACAAACATAACCCTTCTGCAGAAACAAGCAACTCTTGCAGTCAGCAATAGTGCGCAACAGCTTCACAGGTAAAGTATAAAAATGCCTTAAAAGTAACCAACCTTTCTAAAATCGTTTACCATATTGAATTCCTTTAAATTAATCAATTTAAACTTCAACAGCTAGATGTGTTGATCCCTTGTTTATCTTAAAATAAAATCACTGGTCTACAGCAAGGCTTGGAAAACTCAACTCTTGTAACTAGCAGTAGGAACTGGGCAGCCCGGGGCTCCCTAGGACCACTTCTCCTGAAGGTGTGACATGGGAACAGCCGGCACCTACAGGGGTAGGTGTGCCCTACCATCACGGGAGCACCTGGCGCTTACATGGGTAGGTGTGCCCTACCATCTACAACAGAAGTCTCAAGTGGTCGTTCCCATCTCTTGCTGTCACCACAATGACTTCAATGACCTTGCCTTGAGGCAAGAAGGTTCTGCACTGACTCTGTCCACCATGGTTCATGGACATACACTGTCACTGGCATATATCTGGATTTCAGGTAGTTTATCATTATTCCACTATTCCAATGCCTCAGACTGAATTCTTGACACCTCTAATATTCATTGTACAATCATGCATCCAGGTACAAAAATGCCATCATTGTGTCTACCCAGTTCCAACAAACCCCACGTAGGGCTCATTTACTTTAGTCACAAATCATCCCTCAATTTATTTTCCATCGTACCGTGTTTTATCAATGATTCACATCCATCACTCTCATTTATATAGCAAGTACTTTTGAAGTTCTGTGCTGTTCATAGCTTATGCATTTAAGCCCAGTGGTAATGGAACTCTTCCACCGTTATCTGCCCGCTGGGGATTGCACTGTGTAAATAGGTTAAGTCAAGTAAGTGTGAAGCCTAGCACATCCACTCAGCTGCAAAACACAGTCCAAGGGCCTTCTTTTTGATGAGCGCATTAGAGACAAAATCTGTTGCCTTTTTAATCAGTTAGATTTATCCAGAAATGCAGAAGGCCAGGAGTGTGAATTTATGCCAAGCAGAAGAGGGAGGACAGAAGGGGTGAATTCATCCCAAATCAGAATCTATTTTGGGAAAGGAACAACTAAAAGACAAAGAGTAGCTGAAGGACCAGATCCCATCTCCAGGGAACTGTCAGTCACCTTGGGAGCTGAGCCTGCTAGCTGAAAAGAAAACAGAGCAAAATAAACCATGCTGAAGCCAGACCTGAATAAGCAGTAACAACAAGGACTGTAACTGTTCCACTTTTCTGTATCTGTCTTTAAGTATAGCAATTGATTTCTTACGCTCTTCACTTTAGCTGGGTAAACTGTTTCTGCTTTTACCTCAGAGTCTGTCTACTATTACAGCAATTTCGTGGGCACTAGCAAAGCACAGGCACCCCACTGCCCAGCAAGTGGCAATTCTACAATGGGTGACCCGTCAGTATGAACTCCCTTTGCGAACATGAGCTACTGGCACACTGGCAACATGAGATACTAGTGAGGAAGAGAAGTCTCCCACTAGCGAATATTAGCGAGGACTTTTGTATCATGCACCCAGGAACTAGGACAAGGGCTGTGTCTTGTGGTATCGTGGTATCCTCAAGAATGTGAACATGAGTTTCCGTCACACACAGCATTTCAAGAAAACTCAAAGGGCAGTTGTTTTCAACCAAAATGAGAAAGAAACACTGGAGGTTCTGCCTTTCTTACATGTATATGAGGTCATTCTCTAAGGCAGGAAGTTGAAATTTGCAGGTTCAATCCAGTAGCTGACTAGCTGGAGGAAGCTTGCTAGAAGACTTTTTTTTTAATCTAGTTCAACAGAATCTGAGGACTAAGTAGTAGATCGGGTTGTTTATTGACCCAAAAAGGACACTTCTAGAAGCTGATACAAAAAATGTGTCATGAAGAGCAACAAGCTGACTGAAAGCCATCTGACTTGCTTCAGCCTGAAGTGGTTGAGAAACTGTAAGCCATGAATGGCACAGTGCTCTCATCAAGTTCAGAAGTCCTTCTGGAAAATAGTTTCTTTCAGTTTGTGTCCTTCAGTACACTAATGTGGTTACACTGCTTCACCTGCAGAGATTGCAGGTGCCTCGTTTTGGGTCAGTAAGTTGCACAATGCAGAAAATTTCAGGAATGATTCACCTGACCACATGCAGGAAACCACCAAATAGAGAAATAAGCACCTACACCGAGTAATTAATCTAGCCTATATTAGAGACCCTGCTTTAGGGAGAGAGTAAATGCCCTCTGTATGCACCTATTTCCCTCCACTAACTCAAACGGGAATCAAAAGCCACACTGCAGATACGTACAGGTATCTATACTGCCTAAAGTCACGTCAGATGAATTCTCACCCTATAAATGTATTTGCACCCCTTTGTGTAGACCAACCTTGGAAATATGTCTTGGATATAACTAAGTCAAGTGTTCTTTATTTTACATTTCTCTATGTTTAATACCTGAGAACAGACACGTAGTTTGACAGCATGGATTTGATCTCACATGTTGAGACACATGCTATGATAAGATTGCTTTGGGTTTAAATTTTTGTTTTCACCATGAAGCAATTAATGTAAAATTTAGATTGGGAGATTAATCAAATCATCAGTTCTCCCCTGGGTTATAAAAAAATGCTGTTTGCCTTTTTCTTGTAGAAAAGCTCAGACTATTGATACATCTTTTCCTAGAATTTGTTTAATGTTTCAAACAGATTAACTTCCGCTCTTTCAACAGGAGGCAGCTCAGAAGAGACACTGACTTGTGAGCTACTTTGCTACTGTATTGGGTTTGCGTGACAAGGCTTTGG